CAGACCCAGAGGGAGGCGCCTGAGAGGAAGACTCTGGAGCTCGGCCCTCACTGCGGGCACCCCAGCTCCTGTGCTGTGCGCATAGCTGTATCTCTGGAGAGAAGCAAACACAAATCTCCCTTCAGAATGACTCAGTCGTGGCTAACAGACTCAAGGACGCCTGTGTCCTGTCTCAGACGGCGCAGCAGGCCCACGCAGGCCGGCGCCGACACTGTCTTCCCGGTTAGAGATGGTGCCAAGGCTTCCGCTGGGAAATTTTCATATCCTCAGGGGGAACTACCCAGGTTTACTTCTGTTCTCTCAAATAGCTAGCCTATCTGGGGAGCAGGAAGTAAATTAGATCGACATTTTGAAATAAGGTGAGAATTATTTTATAAAGCAAAAGAAACACACACACCAAAAACCCAAATACCCACTCCCTCCTTGGAACTCAGAAAATGCAAGAAGAAAGGTCCAGAAGGAGGCCTATCCTAGAAAGATAATCTGGACTTCTATCAGGAGACTGTAAAATGAGCCCAATTATTTACCTCCTTGATTCCCAGAAAGTAATAGAAAAACAAAGAGAAAATAGATATGACGGTGCAGAAAGCCAGACAGGGTCCCTCACTGGACTACAGACACAGGAGACCTTCTGTGAGACGGAAAGCAGCGATCATGGGAGCCAGAGCCGGGCCTCCGCCCACACGCCCTTAGCGAAAGAGGAGCGAAGGGCTGCTGCTGAGGGGGAGACCGGCTCAACGTGCTAACGAACAACCCCACGTTTCGATGCACGAAAACCAGGAAGTGTGAGCAGGTCACAGAACAGTCACCCTGTAAGTGATAACGTACTGGCGAGCGGCTGCAACACCCACCTGTGCCCAGCACATCGTTGCGTGCGGGAGCAGAAGCAGCAGGCTTGGGGCCGCAACAAGTTACCCGTTTTAAAAACATAGAGGGCGCGTGGGTGGGCCTCAAGTGCGCACGTTGGCAGTAGAGTGATGCCCTCAAATCTCAGCAAGTAGTGGCAAGAGGAACACACAGGCTGCATCGGCACAAGCCCAGGCTGAAGACTGCCTTGCTGGGGCCCAAGAGGATGCTGGTTTGCCGGCCGCTCTGGGGGAAGCTGTTGGCCCCTAACCGGGGCATGGAAGGTGACTCCACCCTCCGCTCGGTGACTTGTGACAAGTGCTCGCCACCACCTCGGAGGAGACCCCACGGTGACTGGTGATGAACCAAGACCTTCTTTGGCGACTGCAACTAGGTGGTGAAGAATCATCAGGTATTGGAAGGAAATTACCAGGTAGTGAGAGACAAAATGAACCATCTGAACAATCTTCCCCAGTGAAACGTAAAATTTAAAAAATACCTCAAACGAGTCCACTATAACGTCGCTGAAACTTAACATCAAGACAATAAAACAAAACCCTGCTACAAAATCTGATGTCTATGAAATTAAAATCTTTTCATTAAACTTCTTTAAAACTCAAAAGATAATGGAGAAAAAAAATAGCTAAAGATTAAGGCGGTGACTTAGAATGCAAAGCAAATGTTCTCCCAGAAATCTCTAAGAAGGGAAAATAATATAACAATCAAACCAAAACAATAGCTAAAATAGATTTGATTAATCATGTAATGAATAAAAATGCTCCCTAATTCAAAATGCATCCCACTCCAAAGGCAGGCCAGACCTTTCACCCCAGTCCCATCAAAAGATGGAGAAAAGGTCATTTTTAAAAAAGATTTATTTATGCATACAGAGCTGGGGTACAGGTCAGATGTGCAGGGAGGGTGAGAGGATTCCCCAGAAATAGAGCGGGGAGCAGAACAGGCAGATGGACGAAGTCCACTGCCGCCGAGGGGCAGCGGGTGGTCAGGAAGGGTCTGCCCCACCCTATGGGTCACTCCCTGGTCGGGGATCGAACTCGTGCTGCAGTGGCTTCGGAGAGCTTCATAGTGCGGTGCTGTAACCCGCTGCGCCACCAGGGAAGGCCCGAAAAGATCATTACTTACAGCTGTTTCGGATGTGGCCCTTCTAGTTCTCTAGTTCTCAGGAAGTGACCTTCCTCAGAGGGTGTGCAGCAGTGGCAGCAGCGCGCGCAGAGCTCTGACCTTCAGCCTCTGAGACACGTTGGGTACAATTCACTGCCTTTGAAGAGAAAGCCTCAGATCACAATGTCTCTGGTGATTTCAACCAAAATTTTTAAAAATATGTAAGGTCTACATTGTAAAACCTCTTCTCACAAAGAGAAAGTGAGGTAATACCTCTACTCTTGTAACCTGGATGCCAAAACCTGGTGATCATAACAAGGAAAAGAGTGATGGTTGATTCTTCGCCATAAAGAGAGATGCAAAAAACCCTAAACAGAACATAGCGAACTGAAATAATACATAAAAAAGATAAAGCACAATGAAGACACTAGTTTATTTCAGAAATGCAAGGGGGGGGGGCTAAAGTTTCTGATTCGGTGTTATTAATCACATTAACTAAATAAAAGAGGGGAAATGAAAGCATCTCAACACTTGGAGAAGTGCTCCTTGATGACTGAAAGTCTTAAAAATCTAGGACAAGAGAGACACATCTTTAACTTGATTAAGTGTCGCCACAGACAAATACACAGCAACCCTCAAAATGGGTCTCACCAGCTTCCTCCCCAAGGTCAGGAATGAATCAGGGTGACAACGATCTCAAGTCTCAACCAGCGTTGTACTGGGGGGTCCTGGCCAAGACTGAAACAAAGGACCGAGAAGGAGTACACCTGGACAGTAAGATACAACACCGTCGTTCCCAAACACCATACATGAGTATATAGAAAATGCAGAAGACTATAAATGCCAAAGTTAATGACTTCAGCCTGGTGCCTAAATTTGTTTGTCAGACACAAACAATTAGATACTCTTTACAACTAAGCTAGCTTGGAATAAATCTACCACTGTTTGTCCTCAATAGGCTATTTACCTTGCTAGTGGGGACAAATTAGCTCTGAAGGTTGTTCGGCATTTGCCTAACAAAACAAGGCGAGAACATATAAAAACAAAAATTCTAAGTAACTTAGCTTTGTCCCAGAACAAACCACAAAATTATTTAAAGAAATACAAAAATAATCTAGCCACTTAACAAGATAATGTCTGGCATCCAGTCAAAAATCACCAGGTGTACAAAGAAATACAAAAGTATGATCTATAATGAGCAATCTACAAAAATCACACAAAGGCTTATAGGAGGAGATCAAGCTATAAAGTTCTGTACATGAAAAGTGGTAGACTATTTTAGCTAAAGATTTCTACTCTGTACTGGAGGTCCCGTCCAGGATAGTAGGCAAAGATCTAGGGAAAGCAAGTGTAGCTTTTGAAAAGGAAGTATATTTGTCAGCAGAATTTATTGGCTAGCACATGATCATGCTAATAGTAATGTATTAGTAGAATTCATGATCGTCTACGTAGAAAATCTCAGCGAATCCACCAATAAGCTACTAGAATGAATATGTAAATTATGTAAAACGTGCTATGAACTCTCAGAATTGGACATGAAAATTTAAAACTATTCTTTAAAATATTTATTCCAGTATCCCAAAAATGAAAAACTAAATATTTCCAAATAGCACCTAAAAATGGGCAAGTTACTTTCAAGTAGCATATTCCAAAATTTTCACATTAAAAGGAAATTTTCACAACAGATGTGCAAGATATGAAAAAGAGAATCCACGATGAATTGTTGTGAGAAATCAAAACAGACTATCAAGACAGACAAGACATACTCACTGATCAGGTTTTATTACTGTTAATATTAATCTATAGAGTCAAATCAATAAACACTCCAGCAGACTGTTTACTAGAATTTGACAGATTGAGTCAAACATCACGAGGAATATAAAATCACCAAAATAACAGAAAAAGACAGCAGTAACGACAGCTGTTTCTTGGCACTATAGACCAGAGGGACCTTCCTACTTGGTCCCCATCCCAGCCACCCCCGCCCCACTGGCCTCAATTCTGCAGTCACACTTCTAGGGTTTGTTTTCATTAAAACTAGAATGATCAAGACCATAGAGCATGACATGACATAGACATAGAGCATGATTTCCATATTTATGTATAAATATGTAAATCAATGAAACAATGAAGTATGTAGAAATAGGTTCACACATACATGGCCAATTGACATGTTGACAAAATGAAAAGACAATTAAGTGGGGAAAGGATAATCGTGTCAATGACCAGAACAGTTCCACAGCCATATGCAAAAAAGAACCCTGACTATCGCCTCCCACCAAGTAACAGTAGTAAGCAGATGTCAATTAGAGGCTTAATAAGATCTAAAACTATAAATGCTGAAGAGGAAAACTCAAGAAAAAGCCTCAGTGACTGTGAAACATGGGCATTCTTTTTCAATAGGACACAAGGACTACAACATATAAAACAAAAAACGGTCAAGGAAATGAAAAGTCACAGATAGGGAAAGTCTTCCCAAACGATCTAATGCCAGGGACTTCCACAAGGGCTCCATCAAGCACGTCTCAGGCTGAAAACAGCCTGGCCTTTGAAATGGGCAGGCTACCAGACGCTCTTAACTTACCAAATGCGCATGAGTCTCACAGATGTTATACTGCAAGAAATAAAAGCGAAAACAAGAGTGTAGACTGGGGTTGCGTTACGATGTCCCAAGAAAGAGCAGGACCATGCAAGAAGCAGTGCATGATCAGGTGGTCACAGAGTTAAGGAGACTTGGGTGTGACGACCGGTTCGGGACCTCCACCCCTCTGAGGGGCAGAGGGCGAGGCTACCCAAGACACACCGTGGGCTCTGGGCACTGGTAGCATTCGATTCCTGAGCAGTAGCACAGTTACACAGGTGTTTGCTCTAAGCACAGGTGTTTGCTTTTTATATAATTGATGAAAGGAAAAAATTTTAAGTAACCACGAGTAGAGTAAAAATAGAAAGTGAAAATTACCAGGGAACAAAAAAAGAATAAAGAAACCTGAGCAGAGCCCAGTGGCTCTGAAAATGGCAAAGCAGGGAACTCCATGGTCTCCTTCTGCACGAGAGCGACTAAGTGGCAGGACTCTGGACACCACAAGGACACTCACAGCGGCGGGGTGGTGCTCGGTGAAGACAATGCTGCCTCTGACGAGCGGGTCCGAGGCCAGCGACAGGTCTGCCTGGTTCTCTGCACACAGCTGCTCACCCTCAACCGCACGGTAAAGACTGTTTATGACCAAAGAGTAAACCCGCATGAATGAAAAGATAAAAGCAATTCAGCAAAGCGAAAAGGAAGCATGCGCAGACAGGTTTCCTTTTAGCATCCTTTTATTTCCACGTGGAAAGACTTAATATTGCACAAATGCCAGACGACTGCCCGAACTAATCTCCCGATAATTGGGAGCAACAGTTCAAGTCAGCCCGAGTAAGTGCCCCAGCGATAGTATGTACAGCATTTATTACAAAGTTTCATTTGCACACTTCATCTCTCCGGAAAATAAAATAAAAGAAAGTAATTGTTAAGCATCGCTATCAAAACCATATGGTTGACACCGGGCTGCAAATAACTGTCGACAGCAGAGATAATAACCAGCACCTGTAGCATTTCTTTAGGTTTGATATGTTCCAATTAATTCTAAAAAAACCTCATTATCTCCTGCAAATTTGGAAACTGAGGTACTGTGAGGGCAAGTAACTCATCGATGCCATAAAGCTACCGGATGGTAGCATGGAACGTGAACAGGCCAGCTGGCTCCAGAGCGTTCACCGCGTTCCAGCACTGTCGCTTTGCCAGTGGCGTCAGGTGGAAAAGCTGCACTAGAACCAGCCCACACAGAAACTGAATGTTGATTTCATGAAATAGGTAAAATCCAGCAAACAGACTTAGCATGTTTATCAGAGTACTTGAACACATACTTGAACACATGGACAAAGTTGTTAGAATACAGTTTGACACATTTAAGAAATACTCACTGCAACATTTTATAGAACTTATGCGCCGCTGCCTATAGAGTTGAAATGTTTAAACTTTTGTGGGAATAATGTGCAGTTTTAGGATAACGCTTACCCTGAGGCAGTAAGACGAAAGAGATGATAATATGAAAGTCTACTAGTATGAAGTGGAAGGAAGTCAGGAGGAAATTAGCTCTGAATTATATTTTCAGTAAGTCAACAACTTCTGTATGTGGATGATTTGTTGCATTGTCTCTGTACTTCAATGTGTTTGGAGTATTTTATTATTAAATGTTGCAAGCATGTCGGCATTATTCTTTAATTCTCTGTGAGGGAAGGCTGTGGTCTCAGTAATAGAAAATTTCTTAAGAAATGAATTCTTGAATTCTCTCGTGTCCTGCTCAGCCCACTGGACCAGTAAGTGAAAGGCGACCTCCACCACGCTCTTAACACCCGTCCCTAGCCACAAACCTCTTGCCCTAACACTATTTATACTTTCTCTGGCACCCAGACCCCTCCGCGCCTTAATGATGGAGAAGGCTCAAGCTGGGAGCATGCCCCGAACCGCCTGGGATCGTCCTGCTTAAAGCTCTGAGAAGTGAAGTTGCAGTTTCCCAGGACAGGAGCTTGGAGAACTCCACACGCTTATTGACAGCTCCCACTGGAGCAACCCCCCCCTGCGCCGCCCCCCCCCCCGTCACAGAGACCTCTCAAAATATACCTGTCCCCACTTGGTGCGGAAAATGTTCTCAAAACAGGTGCTAAAGCACTAGACAAGTGTCACTCACAGTCTACCTTTAGCGAAAACGCACAGTTCTGAAATCTTCATCTAGAAAACAGTGATTGTAACCCTGATTTATAAAAAGGATTGATGAAAGGCATCATGTTGATTTCTATAATGTAATGAATCAGTCTATGTAGCTTCTAGACACCCCTAAATCTGCAGTCAACATTCCCTTGTTTGCCCCTGCCTGCCTTCCTATAACAGTTCGCTCGCTCTTTCTAACACCCATGTTCTCTTCCTGCCACTCCAGGAGCGGCTGCCAGTGGGACTTGCCCTAAGTCTCTTGGGCATTGCTGGTACGATAAATGCCCGGAGGACAGCTCTGTTGTACAAAGCAACATGCAACATATTTTGTGCCTCGAGGCAAGTTAAATGGACTCTCCACCCACTGCTTGCTGTGTGAAGTGAGGGCAGTCACTTTACTATTCCATCCTGGGTCTATGCAAAGTGTGGGGCAGGAGCATTTCCAGTATTTCCATGGAAACCCACCAGCCATTTCCTCTCAGGGGCTCTCCCTGCACAGTTACGCATCTCCACGCGGCTCGGGGTGTCCTGCGGCACGAAGTCCCGGGTAACTCCTAGCCACGGCTTAGTAATGGACTGCCCTGGATGCTGTCCCTGACCCCGGTGTCAGGTGTATCTTTATGGACAGGGCAGGTACATCTCCAAGAGCACGTGTCCACCAGTTGGCAAGAAGACCCTCACGTGTGCCTTCCACAGCGCACTAAACGCCTTAAGGATGAGGACTCAATCTCTTATACTTCTGTACCCTGGCTACTTAGCAAAGTAACTAGCACACCGAGTATTTTCAAGATGAATAATTTTTTTTTTAATTTTTTTAAAGATTTATTTATTTGTGCATACAGAACTGGGGTATAGGCCAGAGGTTCAGGAGCGGCGAGAGGCTTCACCAGAGACAGAGTGGGGAACAGAACAGGCAGATCGACGAAGTACACCGCTGAGGGGAGCAGCAGGCGGGTCAGGAGAGGTCTGCCGCGCCATGGGGTCACCTCCAGGGCAGGCGGGAATCCAACTCATGCAGAAGTGGCTTAAGCTTCTTTGTGCTGTGCTCTAACCCGCTGCGCCACCAGGGAGGGCCCATTTTTTTTTTAATTTTTAAAAAAATTTTTTAAAAGATTTATTTATTTATTCATACAGAACTGGGGTACAGGCCAGAGATGCGGAGGGTGAGAGGCTTCACCAGAGACAGAGTGGGGAGCAGAACAGGCAGATGGACGAAGTCCACTGCTGAGGGGAGCAGCAGGCGGGTCAGGAGAGGTCTGCCGCGCCATGGGGTCACCTCCAGGGCAGGCGGGAATCCAACTCATGCAGAAGTGGCTTAAGCTTCTTTGTGCTGTGCTCTAACCCGCTGCGCCACCAGGGAGGGCCCTCAAGATGAATAATTTTACCTTCTAACTAGTTCTAAACCACACCCTCTCTGTCCTCACTCAGACATCACTTCTCATCTGTTCTGCTACAGCAAACTCTTAACTGATACTCACCCCCAAGCCCACCTTCAACACCAATTCTTGAAAGATCCCTTTAAGCTATGAATACAAAGAGAACGTCCCCTGCCTTAAGTGACCTCAAAAGACCCGAGTATATGTATGGTCAACTGAAGTTTGCAAGACTGCACAAACAAGTCAGTGGAGAGACGATAGTACTTTCAACACATTGAGAAGAAGCATTGGGTAGCATGAGCAAAAGAATTAAACTGTGATGGGTACTTCATGCTATACAAGAATTATCTCAAAATGCTCATAACCTTAAATCTAAAAGTATGCAACATCTTAGAGAAAATGTTGTTGAGCTTGGATTATGCAAAGTTATTACTTATGAAATCAAAAGCGTCACCCATGAAATTATTGACAAATTGAACTTCATCAGTAAGAAATTCTCAAGAAACACGTCCCCAAAACCCTGTTAAGCGAATAAACTACAAAATGGATGGAGGAACTTATTTGCAAATTCCATATCTGATAAAGCATGTAAATAGCATACAAAGAACGATCAAAGCTTAATAACCACAAAAACATACCCACCTTAAAAATGGGATAGAAACTCACCAAAGTTAATGTGTGTCAACCACAAAGCAGCAAATGAGATGATGCTCAACATTGCAAGTCAGCAGGGAAATGCCATGAAAACAGGAGGCACCACTTCAGACCGCCCAGAAGCCTGCAATGTGTCCACACCGAGTGTGCACAGGCTGCGAAACAGCACGATGCCGGGGTCGCCAGGCTAGTGTGGACGTTACAGTCCACGACACGACCCAGCCCCCCACACTCCTAGGGATTGGCGGTGCTCGGAGAAGCTAGAGTGTGAGGTCACAGGAGCGGTCGCCATGAATGCTCACAACTGCTTTACTCGTAACACCCGCGCCAGAACCAGTCCCAGTGTCCTCCGGCAGGTGGCTGGAGCCGCCAAGCTGTTAGCGTCAAAATCATTACTCTGGGCGGACAAAGTCCTATGAAAGAGTACAATTCCATCTGGATAAAATTCTAGAAGTGGCAAACTCGGGAACGGTAACCGAAAGCCCATCAGCAGGGGCAAGGGGGTGCGACGCCCCAGCTGGGTGGGCGGGCTTACAGGTAGAGGGGCCCCCGGACACCACGGGCGTCTCCCCCCAGTGCTGGGGACAGCGTCCAGGGTTTCTACTGCAGTCAGCATGTATCAAATTGACTGCATAAATATACGTGCTGTGCCATGTGTCAATTGTAGCCCAACATGCTATGATGGCATTATTGCTAAGAGCAATTTTGGAGACACCTCTGGGCCCCCCTCTAAAGATGGCCAGTTAAGCTTCTGGGTGTAGCTGTTCCACAAAGTGAAGGCGCTGAGCGCGAAGGGTCCGCGGCATGCACCGGCAGGCCTGGAGCAGTCTAGGAGTGAATCCAGGAAAATTTCCCAAAGGAAGTGACATTTACCTTGAGATCTAGAGGGTAAACGAGAGGCGGGAAGGCTACCAGGGTAGGCAGAAAGTTTAGGAAGAGAGCCGCGGGCTGAATGAACCGTGAGAGAGGATGTTCCAGCTTGGCAAAATATTCTGTTTCTTGGGACCGCTACGAGAGTGAGAAAACAAATAATTTCAAGCTATTTCTAGTGAACTGAGGACATTTTAAGTAGTGATTGCAAAAGAATGTGTTTCAACAAGTCACCGTGGAAGCTGCAGCACCCACGCTACCTGGGGGAGCACAGCGCCGAGGAGCGAAGAGGCCGGCGGCCCCCACGCCAGCAGCCCAGCGTGCCCCGTCCCCACAGCACTACGTGACGTCAAAATCCGCCTCTTGACACACTTTTCTCTTCCGTGTGGGAATCTAGGCGCAACAAAATGACTTCAGCTGTGAGTGGGAACGCAAGGCTCAGAGAGGGCCCGGAGACTTCCCAGGGTCACACAGCAAGGAAGCTGATGTAGTTAATGTCTCATTTCCCCTAGATGCCACACGAGTGGCATCGCACAGAGCTCGGATTTCTCGGGCTGGC